CCCCAAAACCCCAAAACCCCAAAACCCCAAAACCCCAAAACCCCATCGTCATTTTATTTAGACTAAAGTTGTTTAATTCTTAAGAAATATAATTAAAAGAGTTATCTTTGTTATATATTTAATGGTGATTCATAGCAAAACAGCAATTTTGGCACTCTCAACAATTGCCTATATCCAAGTATTATAGACTGCTGCTTAGAGTTATACTGACACATTGAATGACTGCTTAAATTTGATATCGATGTTTGAAGCAACTCACTATCCATAGAAAACTGGCAATAATAATTAGTATCCTTATGGGAACGGAAATGTATATAATTACGAACAGGTAGTTTGCAGTAATATCGGAACTTGCCCAGATGATGTGACCAGAACAACTTGTACTTGGTAAAGATATCTCCTTTTATAATGCGTAAGCGCTGCAAGAAATAGAATTGTAATAGCAACGAATTCTTTACCAAATCATTGTTATTGGGGTCAATAATATACCCCTAGCGGTGGAAGAACTGAATTCAACAAGTATTAATTTGATATCACCTTCAATATTCCTCCTTCAGAAATGGCTAATGCTTAGGGTTTAGCAAAGAATCAACCATTCTATAACTATTAGGTAAATTCTTAGGCAGATTCTGACTAGGTTCTTTGCTCATCTAACTGGGCAGGTAAAGCATTCATTGATTCAAACATTTTTTATGAAGAAAAGGTCTTAGACCAGAATGGAGTTTATTCTGCAACTCTTTTCTAAATAAATTCTAACTGGCCTTTGTTGAAAATGACAAGCTCAAATTACATTGTTGGAGTCGCAAGAAACGGTGTTTTTATTTTTGCAGGCTCTGGAGATTAGGGCTTCGATGCCTTCTTCCCTCAAACATATGGAATAAACGTAACCCCAGTTAAAGCTGATTATGATGTTTGCCTAGGGTCATAAAATACTTTCAGCACTTATAGATATGTGATGTTCTCACCTTGTATGTTTAACATTCCTTTGAGAGATGTACCCCTAGCTTGCTAAAAGCATCCTGATTGTTCAATTGATGTTAGAAATTTCTCCATTAGTTATGCACCTGAGAGATTAAAAAGTATTATGCCTATCGGTGTAGCTAGAGATGGAAGAGTTATTTACGGACCATACAGACAAGATGGTGAACTCTGGTAACCTTGCGACGTTGATGTCTGTAATGGCAGAATGTTTGGTAGATATTATGGATATGTTGCCACAATGTTTCATCCTTATATGGTTGGCTGTTTTGGCCCTGGTAACATGGCTTACAAAATAGCTCCACAGTGCTCTGCCAATGCCAGACTATGCAACTCTACTTATGAAAAATTCAGACATATCACAGTTACAGTGTTATTTGGAATTCTCGCACTAAGCTTACTATTTTGAGATGATCCTTTATATTTCAAGAACTTAATATTTTCAACTTTAAAATTTTCTCACAAATGCATCAGATCTAGTAATTTGGGGTTTTGGGGTTTTGGGGTTTTGGGG